GAATGTAATTAGAGATATCTTAAATTGCTAAAACGTTTAGTAATAAAACAATTTGAGATATGTGGAATGTAAGAGCAGTGAAACCGAATTTATGTTAAAACAGCTTGCCATACAACGGCAAGCCATACGGCTTAATAAGTATAACAGCAGTAATACTTATTACAACAGTTTAGAAGAAAAAGTATTATGGGGAAGTTAACACTGTTAGCTGCAAGATACAGAAGAACAGAGGGAGGAAAGCTGGAAAAATATCAGTGAAATTAAGTTTTAAAGTGATGTGAAATCAGAAGTGGCAGTTTGCATGCCTTACTTTTCTTCTTATTTGCTCTATCAGCTCCATATATTAAATGTTCATATTATCCACTTCGCCAAAGTGAACTCATAGGGGCTAAAAGAAATAAAGACACAGTTTAGCTTTAAAAAATGATACATTTCTCCTTATTGCATCACCAGAGCTGGTGAAAATCTCTCATGCTGCAGAAGCTGAAAGTTTATTAGATCTCAGTGGATTTGCTGAGTCAGCAGGCTGCGTTTCTGGCACATTTACTATCAGCCATCTTGATTTGGTAAATAAAACACACAAATGCACTTTAGTCTCTAGGATCAGCTCATTTCGATAATAAAATACTCTGAGAGGAGCACATTTAAAATGAAAAGTCTGTTGCTCTAAGAGTTTCATCCATCTTCTGCACCAGGCGTGACCTTTATTTGTCCTTCAGGCGTTAGAGAAACGACAGTAATGAGTAAATTTGGCTCCAGATCTGGAAGAACTCCTGATTTAAAAGCTGTGCCATGATTCTGCTGTAAGTGTGTTAAAGCTGGCATATCTCAGTGCTGCTAAGTGGATTTTAATGGAGCCAGCTGTATAAATCGCAGAAGGCTAACTGCTTTGTTTCCGTGTTTTTATTTACAAACCTCCATCTGAGACCCTCTGGTGTTCATATGTGTTGGGGAAATGTGTGGCCTGTTAAAGGAATTACGTTGTTTGTCTTTTCACTGTAGCAAATGTTTGTTTTTCCATCATATTCTGACTATTTCCTACATCAGAAATCAGGACTGAAGATTTTGTTTGAATTAATATCAAATCAAAAATATCCACATAATATTTAGTAGAGAAAATCAAAACTATTTTCCAAATGGTGTCAATTTGTGGCACATAAAAATAAAAACATGAGGATATTTCTGCATATTTTTCAAGATTAAGATCAAAATTTATTTCAGAGTCACATAAAACATTGATTGTTGCAAAAATGAACAATTTCTGTATGGTTTACTAAATAAAAGTTTAATTTATTCAGTTTTATTTGGTGAAATTAATATTTTTCTCTGTTATTTGAACTGAAACGAATCAAAATAATATTTAGTAAAACAGATTCTCAAAGTTAATCCTCAGTTTTGAACCTAATTAAAATGAGTGTGAATGCATTTTTGAGCACATGAAAATAGAAATATGAGGATATTTCTGCATATTTTTCCAGATTAAGATCAAGATTTACTTTAGTCGTTTAATCTATTCACTAGTGGTTAGCTAAAACCAATAAATGCACAAACAACATGAGATCTAGCAAACAAATTTAAAAAATGCATTTTAAATCATATTTATGCCAAAACCTACAAAGTTCTACTGAATACAGATTAATTATTGTGATAAAATCTGAATTAAATCATTTTTAAACAGTCGTTACACTTATTATTCATTTTTATCCCACTGATTACCGTCTTTAATACCAGAATAATTTATAATATTATCTCTAATCGTCCGGGAAACGATGTCCTTTAATGTGTAAAATTACGTCAGAGCTGACGTTGCAGTTTTCTATACCGGAGTCGCTTGCGCGCATGCGTGAAGGACATAAACCGTGGTTGCTCCACATGACCTGAACTCAAACCGGTTCTTCCCGTTCTGCAAGGTAAGACCACTGGACCAGTTTTACGTCTGCAGGTGTATTCAGCTATTTACTTTTAGCGAAAATAAAAGTTATTGAATTTAGTAAACTACGTAGGCCGTGATGACGTCATAATACAGCAGTTTGTGGTTTATTACTCCGGCATGACAGCCGCTTCTGCTCCGATGTTTCCATTTGTGACGTTAATAGATCTATAATTAAAGATTTGCATGCTGCAAAACCACAGCAAATAGAAATGTTCAGCTAGAGCAGCTCTGATGTTCATATAAGGATCATTTTTACATAATGTTTGATTTTTAAAGACATGTAGTAATGGCAGATTCTACTGAACCTGGTCCCGAGAGGAAATTACTTTTCTTTCTTTTTTTTAATTAATTTTTTTATAATCAATTAGGAAATTAAATTATTTCAGTTGCTCAGGGCATAATCAAAAAAGGGGGCGCTCAAGCACCAAATAAAAAGAAAAACAATTTATTTGTCTGCGTTGAACAAGTTTTCTTTTGGTTGTATGGACTAATGGAGAGGTGGTGCAGCCATCTTAGTTGTTGAGTCTAATGAGCAGCTAAAAGAATATCTAAATCGTAAAAATCACCTTATCAATGTTTCAGTCTTTATAGAGCCGCCCTGCAAAGTAATAAATATTTTTATTGACACTTTCGACAGCAAGCTGCTCCGTACAGCAGTTTTTATTGAAGGCTTTTGACACTGTTGATTACGAAACACCAAGAACAAAACTTATCAGTGTTTCTGCAGGAGGCTCTTAAAGTTGTACTGTTTATAATTCATTACTGCCTTTCGTTAAAAGTAATCCACTGATTAAAGCCTTTTTTTTAAACAAGTTTAGCCTTGACATAGTTTTTAATTTTCCCTAAATAAATTTGTGTTTAAGTGGAAAGTTTAGTTTAAAAGCATTTGATTTAAACAAAAAATTAAACATCTTGCAAACATAATACAAAGTTATTGTCTTCTATTCGCACAATATTTTTCTTGTTTCTTTAAAAGGCTTCCTTTTTCCTATGCAAGGTTTGGAAAAGATGCCTCCAGTAAACTCAGGTCAACATTTATTTGAAATATAAATTAGTAATAATAATAATAGTAATAATAGCATTTACTTTTATGCTGATGATACTTGCATTACATGTAGGTGCAGCAAGTTTAACTGTGGACTTAGTGATGGTCTAATGTTCACCAGCTCTCTAAGTTTAAATTCATTTTCTGAATTTTTTAGAGTGTTTTCTCTAGATTTTCAACTATTTGTTATAAATTTAGCCTTTTAAAACAGATTTGTTGCTTCAAAACAAAACAGAACCAAACCAATTTCCTTCTTTTTTTATTTCCCAGGAGCCTTCAGTCTTCATGCATTGCGTCTTTGTTTACGGCTCCCTAAAGAGGGGCCAACCCAATCACCCCTACATGACAGACAGCAATAATGGAAAGGCCGAGTTCCTCGGTACGGCCGTCACCGTCCAGAAGTATCCACTGGTGATCGCTACCAACTACAACATGCCCTTCCTCCTCAACCTCCCAGGCCAAGGCAACAGAGTCCAGGGAGAAATCTACCAAGTGGACGGAAAGATGCTTGAATTCCTGGACAGTTTTGAAAATATCCCCACCATGTACCAGCGAACTGCAGTGGAGCTGGAAATCAAGATGGCGGATGAGAAGGAGAAGCTGATGGCTGGAAGCATCATGGAGGCGTCTGTGTACAGCACCACCACCTACCAGCCGGACTGGCCATCACTGCCCACCTACGACAACTACGACTCCAACGGAGACCACGGACTAAAATTCATGCTGAGGGAAGACAGAAAGTGGGCTTCAGTCAAGTGACGCTCATAACTGCTAATCCCCTGAAAATCACTAATATACTAAAACCAAATAGGTCTTGAACACAGGCAATTGTTTTCTCAAATGGATATTTAGGTACAGAAAGGCAGAAAATATACCTGATATGTGCAAATCAACAAAATTGCTTAATGTTAATTGATGAACAGGCTGCATTAGTGCTGCACTTTATCAAGTCAGAGGATTCCAATGTGCTTTACAGTCATTCACACACTTATGGAGCTACATTGCAGTTTCTTGTTTCCCATGTTTTTCACAGACCTTAAGAAAATATCTTACTGTTCCAAAACATTCAATTAGCAATAATAAAAGTTGTATTTCTGAAGTTATGAACAGAATAATTTCAGACTGATTCTCCTTGCAAGCTCTTAGTCAGAGAAGTATTCCAGAAAATGGAGACAAAATAATGTAAAGAATCCCAAATAATGTGACAAATAAAAGTATATTTTTAGCTATTAACATCACGTGTAATGCAAAAAACTCAGGTTGGGTTTTTTTATAATTATCTTTTTTACAGTACTGTGAAAGCGTCTTGAATCATATCTAATGTTTTTTCATAAAAAATAAGAAAATTATCTCAAGTTTGTTGTACCATCAATTCAGAAGACTTAAACATTTTTAAGTGTTTTTATCTTCTTTTATTAAACTAATTTTGAAAGATGCAACAATCAGTGTACTGATCTTTAAAAACTGTATCTATAAAAATAGAAAAATAACTTCACTACTATTCCCATGAGTGGATGAATCAAAGGTTTTATCAAAATATGGTTTTGGTCAAATTTCTAAACAGGCGCTTTCTTCGCTCTTGCAGTACCTTCCTATTCCAGCAGATGTCAGTAAAACTCCTTCACTCACAGCTGAGGTCAAGTCAAACTGCGTTAAATCAAGTTAAATTAACTTTAAACCAAATAGTAAACCAGAGTGATTATGTTTCTGGGTGCGACTTTGCTACTAAATTATTAGTAGAAAATTCATTTTTCTACTACTGAGAAAGACGTGTGACCGGCGTCGCTTGTGCGCATGCGTGAGCCAATATCCTGGGATCGCTCCTCTTGACATTTATCGTCCTGGAAGGTAAGAAGACCACTGCGTCAGTTTCACGTTTAGTGGGATTTTCAGTTGTTGGGGGCTCAGCGAAAAACTACGGAGGCCGGGATGACTTCATAATAAAAGGTGAAAAAATAGGATTTGGACGCTGACGTCAGCTTTATGTCTCATTAAACCTGTCAGACAGCAGCAGATCGCTGGTTTCTCCTTCCTCTTCTTTCGCTGCTGCTCTTATTTTACGATTTGTGACATTAATAAATGCATAATTGAAGATCCGCTGCAAAAACAGCTAAATTAGAAATGCTCGGTTGTAACTGCATGGAGAAAATGCTGGATTATCGAGTGCTGACCTCAGTTCCGTGTCAGCTGGCTCCTAACTAAAGTGTTATTCATTCATCAACTCAGTCTGAGTTCAGTTCAGCCTTTGAATTTTGTGTTTTTAATGCGTCCAAATATATCAATGTTTACATCCTTGTAAACATATTTAAAATCATAGATTGTTGTGTTTTGTATGGAGGGCCACAAGGGACAAAATTAAGTAAATCCATCATGTACAATAAAATAAATGTTTAAATAATTTGGCTGAATTTCAAGTCCCTAAATTCAAAGTGCATTAATTTTGTGTTTTTTAAAGCTGTAATTTATAACTTTAATTCAATTTTGTTTTCTTCACATCTGTTGAAACTGTCATTTTGCATGGAAAGTATAATATGAGAGACAAAATATGAAAAAATGTCTTCTCCCAGTGCTAACTAGAAACAACCAATCAGAGCCAGGAGGCGGGTCTTGGCACTGTCAATCAGGATTTCATCCTCCTCTTTTTCTATGTCAGTGCTACTCAACCCTGGTTCTCACCGCCCCCCTGTCCTGCATGTTTTCGGTATTTCCCCTCTGCCACACACCTGAATTGTATCTCTGGGTGATTAACAGGCTTCTGCAGCACTTGATGGTGATGCAATCATTTGAATCAGCTGTTCTGGAATAGACACACATCTAAAACATGGAGGGGGCGGTGAGGACCAGGGTTGAGAAACACTGTTCTATGCTAGCTACAGCATAGCATGTTGTGAGTGCGCAGACTAGTTAGCATGAAGATGTGGGAAGATAGACGACTACAGATAAGCTGTTTTCTTGTTGACCTACATTTTTCTCCACCATTAGCACATTTGGCAGTGAGTACATGAGGATGATTGGCAGCGAAAAGCCCCTCCTCCTGGCTCTGACTGGTTGTTTAGTTGGGTTAATTTCTTCAGATCAATTTTTTTGTGCATTATAACTGTCAGGACATGGTGACCGTTTTAACAAATATGTAAAAACCATAGTTTATAAAAGTTACATACTGCAGTTTTAAGTTGTATTTTTTCTAGATTTGTAACCAATATTGACTCGATGCAGGTTAACAAACCAAAACTATCCCAATAACCCTTCTGTTTTTCCCAGGAGCCTTCAGTCTTCATGCATCGCGTCTTTGTTTATGGCTCCCTAAAGAGGGGCCAACCCAATTACCCCTACATGACAGACCGCAGTAATGGAAAGGCCGAGTTCCTCGGTACGGCCGTCACCGTCCAGAAGTATCCACTGGTTATCGCTACCAAGTATAACCTCGTCTTTCTCCTTAACCTTCCTGGACAAGGCAAGAGAGTCCATGGGGAAATCTACAAAGTGGACGAGAAGATGCTGAAATACCTGGACTGGTTCGAGAAGGTTCCCACCATGTACCAGCGGACAGCAGTGGAGCTGGAAGTCAAGATGGTAGACAAGATGGCGGACAAAGAGGAGAAGCTGTCGCCTGGAAGCATCATGGAGGCCTTTGTGTACAGCACCACCACCTACGAGCCGGACTGGCCATCACTGCCCACCTACGACAACTACGACTGCAACGGAGACCACGGACTAAAGTTTGTACTGAGGGAAGACAGGAAATAGTGATGCAGATGAGTAAACTGCCTTTAGTGCCTTTAAACCACAGAGAGGATCAAGAGTAGCAAATGAGTAACGAATCAATAATTATGTTCTCTGTTAAAACCAGATGAGGAAATTTACTTGTTAAAATACACTCAGTCTTACGTTTTTATCCAAAAATTCGTGTCTGCTTTTTTATACTTTTAATGAACAATTTTCTGGGAGACAATCAGCTGTTGGCAATATTTAAAAATGAAAATGTTAAGTGTGGAGGTTCCTCCACCTTTTCCTCAGTGTTAGTATTTATTTAAATGTTTTCATATAATATATTTAGATTTTCACTTTTTCTTTGGTGGGTTTTCTTTGGTGGTGGTTATTGCATTGGGTTGTTTACTAATTTGGGTGCACACATTTAGTAAATGCCTTATGTTTTTTTAAGATCATTAATTATTTTGTTTGCTGAGTTTAAGGACTGGCTGACAGAAGGGGGTTGGCTGAAAGGAACACCAGGAAGTGGAACAGTCCATCAGGCTGCTGGAAGCAGGGGACGTGATGTGGAAAAAATCTGCCTCTCTCCACTAATGGCATAATTGTTAAAACCTTTTTGGTGTTAGGTTATTTGGGTTTATAGAGGTGTTTAAGTCAAAGTGTTTTAGTTTAAATTAGTCATTTATGTTTATACATTATTTGTCTTTGTCTTTTTCCCTACCCCTCCTCGTTTGTGTAGGCTAGCCTGTTTGTATAAATTCCCCTGTGTGTTCATTGTGTGAGAGCAGTTGTTGGTTTGTTATCTTGAGTTAGGTTTGCCTTAGTTGATTTCTTTTGGGCCCATTTTGTTATATTTTTTTAGATTGGTTGTTGAATCCTTTTGTTAAGATGTTTTTGGGAAAAATAAATAGAAGATATTTTTTTTATATATGCCTTTGTCCTTGTCCTTGACTGGTTGGACCGTCACATTAAGCTATAATAAAAGATGCGTCTTATTTTGTCTTCTTTAATTAAATGTAAAGCAGCCTAACAGGGGGATTGTATTAAAAATGTTTTCTCTGTACTTTGAGTTTTTTATTGCTTATTCTGGTGTTCAGTGTGATTTGACTGGACCGCTGTGTCCTGAAACACTGGATCAGATATTTTTGGGTGTGTTTTGTGATCTGGAGAAAGTCCACAGCCTCATCCTATGAGGTATTTTTGTTGCAGGAATATGAAAGAGATTAATGTTGCTTCCTCTGCTTAACATGTCGCTGCTTGTTCTGGTGCTTTTGAATTCTTCAGTAAGTGTTCGTCTTTTTACACAATAAAAAGCTTTATTTTTTCTTTGCACAAATAAAAGTAGGGCAACAGGTTTTTTTGTCTGGATAATTCATAGACAAAGAAGCACAAACCAGTGTGTGGAGACATGACAAGACTGAAACATGAGTCTACTCTTAATCTTAAAATGTGAGGTGCAAAACAGAGTTTTCACCCAGGTTTTGGTTTTCAGTTCTATTTAATTTATCAGTAAAATTGACTAAAAACTTCCAGGGATTTTAATAAAATTCTGACTTAAAGATAGCAAAATAAAGTAAAAGTGAGAAAAATCCTGTTAATGTTGCTAAAAAGACGAAAATCAACTGGAAAATGTTAGGATATGTTTTGCTGCTTTTTTTGTTTCAAATTACTGAAATCTCATTTGCTTATTTCATTAAAATACGTTTAGGTTGTTTATTCAGGAGGTAACATTTTTAAAAATACAACAGTTTTGGTAATTATAATTAAAAAGAAAAATACTAAAGAGTTTTGTGATGTTTAAGTATTTTCAACTGGATATTTTGGCTCCCAAGCCGATTGAAAAAATGATTCTGCAGGATCCCCAACACAAAGCCTTGGGGAACACCGTCAGGAAGGACCAAAACCTGCAATGTCTACAAGTAAAACACGACATAATCTGTGATTTGCTTTGTTTATTTTTCATATGAACACAAACTTTTCAAAACAATTCCAGAAAGCTGGAAAAATACTGGGAAGAAGGCGATAAAGAGGAAATCTGTCGGCTTTGGAAGCAGGTCTGAAGTTTTCCTTTTCAGTGAAGACAAAACGAAGGAGGAAAAAACTATTTTCACAGTGTTATCAAAATACTGTACAAAGAGGAATTACAAAAAGAAAAACATGGATTCTGTGTCCTAATCTGGCATCATGATTAATCCACACATCTGCTTTATGGAGCTCTAAATATGTTGAGTTAAAAAAGTGGAAATAAGGACAATACTACTAATATTTTCCAGTTTGGCACAGAAACAGAACATTGAAGATAAATGGTGTGAAAGGAACTTTGAGGAGCTCTGAGAGTGTTGGTGTGTAAAAAAGTGTGATTTCTAAAAGGCTGGAAGAGAAGTCTGTGGTTTTGTGTAAGGCAGAGGTGAAGATGGCAGAGTCATCAGTAAAGATCCTTCCTGGAGCTCAGCAGGGGGCGGCTGGCAGAGCAGGTGGCGCTGCGGATCACCTCCATCCACCTGGAAACCAACAGAAGGAAACCGACTCAGTTTGAGACAGAAATCATTTTAAATTCCAATTTCAAATTTCTTGGTCAATTATTGTTCCAAATAAAAATTTTTGTTAATTTACTACACCTATTCTACAATGGTATTCGTTTTCGCAAAGGATTGATTGATGGACAGATTGATAGTTGGGTCGATGGACGAATAAACAGATTGATCGATGGGTGAGAGGATGGGTCGATGAAGGTTGTAGATGGAGTGATGGGTAAATGGACAAACATACAGATCAATGAATGAGATGAACCACACAGCCCAATGAATGGGTTCAACAAATGGGTAGATCGGCAAAAGAATTCACTCAATTACGCATTGCTAGGAGGACAGAAGGGTCGATGGAAAGATTATTGGGCCCATTGATGGATGATTGGGAAAGAGGACGGACAGCATGGTCGAAGAATTGGGTCGATAACGGGACCACTGGGTCAATGACCAATAGTGGGTGGATGGGCTGAGAGATGTTTCATCCAATGAGCAGACGATTGGGTCAATCGATGGACAGAAGGGTTGATGGACCAATTGGCTATTGGTTGGTCAGTGGATGTACAGATGGATAGGCAGACAGGCAGATGATTAGCTGAGCATATTTTTTTATGTCTTATTGGAGCAAATTACTTATGAACTTAAGAAGTATCCAGGAATTTTTCCAAATTTGGAAAACATTTCAGATCTTCTCCCGACATTTCCACCTTTTGTATGAAACCTGTAAGTTATAACTTCTTGTCTTCTGTGGTTTAAATAAAAACATTCACTCCTGGGGTAAAACTAGATTAAATTGCTGCTCTTTGTTGAGTGAACACCCACCGTTCAAAGGCGTACTCGCTCTCTGATCTGAAGTAGTACACGTGGGATTTAAAGTGAAGCTTGAAGACGTAATCTTTGTGGATGTTCTCGGACTCGGCCGGGACGGTGACGGAGTAGCCCAGCAGAGGGAGGCTGGCCAGAGGGTACTCATCCTGCAGGAAGGCCAGATATTGTTACAGAAATCCCAGAGCGACTCTTCGCTACGCGTTTGCATGTCTTACCTGGTGCGACTTGTAGAAAAAGAGGCTGAAGTTAGTGAAGACCACCCAGAGTTTCTGCCAGCCGTTGCTGTTCTTGAACTTCCTCAGCAGGTTACCTGAGAGCTGGTTCTGCAACACAAGCACAGGAAGCAAAAAGCTCATTAAAATTTCTAATCAAAATTGTGAGCAATTTTGATTAGAAAATTGGACAAATTGAGTAAAAAGGGAAAGCTGCTCGCCTCCATTACCATCTACTCTTTACTTTCACAAAACTCTCACCAATTTGACTTGTAGAACAACTTTCTAAACAGAGAAGTGCTTTCCCGGCTGCTGCAGTACCTCTCTGCGCCACCAGATGTCAGTAACAGAATGGCTGCAAACCACAAGGTGAGACTGGGGGCCTCATGAACTCACTGACCGGCCCTACCGATGCCAGCGTGAGCAGATAAACAAATGAAGGCACAGATGGAGTGGAAGAGGACAGGTGGATAAAGAGAAGACAAGCTGAGCAGAAAACCACACAGAATGAAGCACAGATGAGCGCCGAGAGCAGAGCAGCACCTCCACGGCGACGCTGAAGTCCACCATGGATACGCTGGTGTTGCGATGCCAGCAGACGTGAACGGTGGTGTTGCCACGGTGACTCTGGCGCTCGAGGGACGAGCGCGAGCCGCAGAGCTCCTCTTCCGACTCCAACTCAGCCCCAGCGTCCTCCAAAGGCTCTGAAGGACAAAGACACGCCATCTGGACGGGTGTTGGAGCCAGTTTGACTGCTGGTCCACTGGGAGCATCTTACTGGTGTCGGGTGGACTGGTGGACAGCAGCTCGGCGTTTGGGCTGCTGCTCTGTTCTGCCAGGTCAATGGCCATCCTGATGTCCTCCACCCAGCGCTCCATCTCTGCAGCACAACTGCAAAAACAAACAAACAAACAAACATGGCTTCTTTATTTTTTCCACCAATGCACTCCCTGGATTTTCATAGTTCAGATTGGCTGCCATCTTGCACTGCAAAAACAAAAATCATAGCAAGTCTTCTTGGTCAAATTTCTAGTGCGAGTATCTTAATACACTTGAAATAAGACAAAACTAACTTGCAACTAAGTTTTCTGCAAATATTTGGAGCTTGTTTTAAGTAAATAATTAGTTAATATTGATGAAAAGTACTAGTTCCACTGGCAGATTATTTCACTTATAAAAAGCTAAAAATGATGTTTAATAAGTGAACAAATCTGCCAATGAAGCAACTAATTCTTTCCCAATCTCAAGAAATTATCGAGTTAAAACAAACTCGTTTAGTTAGTTTTGTCTTATTTAGAATGTATTAAGATATTTTCACAAGAAAATCAACCAAAAATACTTGGTGAGATTTTTGCAACTTCTGTTTATGTGCACTTTGAATTCTCATCGATTGATGACATAATTTTAGGACCATTCTTTTTATTTATTTATTTATTTAATTCCAAGAATAAAGTCACAGTATTACAAGATCAGTTTTAGTAAAACGAGAGATAATGCGAGAATAAAGTGCTAAGATCACCAGAATCAAGTCGTAATTTTAAGAAAACGCCAACATGAAAAATAAAAAATAAAATGATGAATGTTGAGCATCTTGAAGTTGTAATTTCAACTCATAAGAATCAGATTG